GTGGGGCTCCAGGGGCTCTCCAAAATGCAGTTTATTGTATCCAAGGTGTTCCAGCAGCCCAGGGTGGTGGGTGACAGAGCTGTGCCCACAGCTGTCAGCTCCAGCTGCAGGCAGGCCTGGAGACCCTTTGGGTTTGGTTACAATGCATTATATATTTTTCTTTTGGTTACAATGCATTCTATACTTTCCTTTGCTGAGCATCTTAACACAGTAGAACCAATCCATAACTTAACTTTTATCTATAGCCTATCATAACTACTACAATTACCATATTCATGTTACTGTTCTCCAATCACTAAAAGTCAGTATATTACAGTTTAAGCTAGAAGTTGTTTTTCAGTTTTCTTGCAGTGGAGAATTCTGAGACCTTTTTTCTACTTGCCACATTTGCTGCCTTGTTTGTCTGTGCTCTCTTTCTGCTGGGTAAAAACATCTTATTTGAGGTGGGTTTATCCTTTGCTCTAAGCCATAAAAACCCCTTCTAACTAACACACCCTTTGCCTACTAGGTTATCCAGCAAGACTGGCTCAGCAATTCTTTTCTTCTATATCAAAACTTGCTTCCATCTCTATTCCTTCACCAGATTCTACATTTAAAAATCTTTCTGCCGGGCACACATATCTGTGAGACTCTCTTGTCAAACTTTCATCCTTCCCAAAATGTGGGGATGCACTGAGGGTGGGTATCCTGCTTCCAGCCCTCCTCCCAGCCTGAGTGAGCCCCCAGACCCCACTTTGATGACCTTGCCCTGGCTGTCTCCCACATCTGCTCGCTCAGGCACAGACAGTGCAGGCAAGGGGAGGGAGGAGTGCCTTTAGATAATTTTTCAGTGCTGGTGGAACCCAGTGGATCCGTAGGGTGAGGAGATTTAGCTGCTCTGCAGAGGGGAGCAATGCCAGAGCATCCTCAGCCAGTTCATCCCCCACAGCCTGAAGGAGCTGTACAGAAAACTGAACCTAGTTAATTGTTATCTGCTTATTTTGTCCTGCCTGCCGCATTGCTGGGTCTGGGGTAATCACCTAGAATGTGAGAGACCTCAGCTCAAGGCTTGGAGCCGTTCTAAACTTCCAGTGCAGCTTCCAGCAAGCCATTTAAACGTCAGCTCAGCTCAGGGTTTTTTACAAGGCCCCCAGATCTGTGGCCTCTGAGGTGATGCACCTTGAAAAGTGGTGAATATAATGATCCAAATCAGGCCCTGTGGCGAAAAGGTACAAGAATTACATTATTTTGTGCCTGTACTGCAGGGACAGAGGGCACAGGGAGGGGCTTCAGAGCCACTTAGACCCACATGAAGACAACCTAGGCTGAAAACCAAGAGCAGAAAGGCACTCAGTGATGTACTGGTATGTGCAGGCTCAGCTTCTGGTCCCTGTGGAATCCAGGAGGAGCCTCTGGGCAGCTCCAGCGAGGCACCAGCTTGGGCTGGAATTACAGCATGGCACAAAGAGGGAAAAGCAGGCATCCTTCAGGGGTCAGAACAGGCATGGTGGAACCCAGCCATGCCAGAGGTGTTGGGGAAGGTGAAACCGGAAAGCCTTATAGATATGATTGCTTGGCAAAAGATTTTGAGAATATGGAAACTATGAGTGAGATTGAAATGAAGGCAAGCTTTGAGATCCCTCAGTTACTGAACAACTGGAAAACAATGGTGTGGCTGGCTGAAGGTGATCCCCTTTTGATGGAACAACACCCTCTGCTTGCAGACGGGCCCAAGAGTCAGAGCAGACCCTACAGCTTGTCAGAAGGGCCCAAAGAGGAGTTTTTAGGGTTTAAAATGTAACACAGTGTGGTAATGTAATGATTCTGATAGGCTGTATGTAAATGCCATAGGATTTGTATCTTGTACTAGATTGGTTGGTGAGAAATAGAATATTCCACACAGAAGAAGATTTATTGTATTGTAACGGGAACTTCACTGTCTTACTCTCTTATCCTCTTACCCTCTCTCTCTCTCATCCTCTTTATCCCTCTCTTTACTTCTCTCAGGCCTGCTCTGAGCTGTGGCTGCAGCTCCCCGCAGGGCCCTGCACCCAGGCCCAAGTTCCAAAAGGCCCCTGCTCCCAGGCCCTTGGCAATAAACTGCAAGTTCCACGACCAGAAGAAGATCTATTGTATTGTAACAGGAACCTCGCTGTCTTACTCTCTTGTCCTCTCATCCTCTC